ACTAGTGTTATTAGAAATTTAACTTATCAAACATATTATATAAGTAAAAGAAAAAGAATTGAGCTTAACCTTCAAAACATCATTTCAAACCAAAAAAATAAAATAAAACAATTTAGTTTGGTAATTACTTAAAGGAGAGAAAAGAGCTAATTTTAAAGTAATTTACTTGTCGTGTTTATTAATAGATTTCTATTGGATTCCATACGAAAGTCGTTGACATGTCGTTTCTGTACACTCGACAACGTTGTAAGGTGTAACTAATTGAAGATTGCGTCGATTGACCAATGTTCTAAAAATCGTTACGAGGCAGGCACGGGCCTGGCGCCTAGAGGAGTAATCGACTAGGCGTTTTATTTATTTATAATTATTTTGTATTATAAATTATAAATTTATACATAAATAATGCAAAAATAAAAGGACATATAAATGATAAAGTACCATAATCTATATATATATAAAGCAAAATGCAGAGAATGATAAAAACATTCAAAATACTAGAAAATACCCTTAGTTAATGCAAACATTAAGAATTGAAATTATTAATTAAATGAGGATAATATGGTAAATTCACACTTTTTCACATTAAAAAAAATTAAAAGAAAAATCAGATAAAAGATTCTATTTTTATGGAACACAACTACTCATTAACTTTTCAAACTGACTTCAAAAGCACCAGATTAACACACCAACATGAAATATCGTTTATCGAGAGCCTCCCTTAGTGTAAAAGGACTGTGACTTAATTAGTTGAAAATGCTTTAGAAGAAGGATTGACATACTATTTTTTGTTGTTGTATTTATGGGTTAAACCCGTGTTATTTGTTATAAATAAAATCCATTTTTTTATTCTTGTCCAATGGGCTAATAGCTGGAAATCATTAGAATGGGAGGTATTGGAAAGAATTTAAATTCTCATTCCCCAATATCGCTTATACAAATAAAATAATTGAAGAAATAACTCTAGCCCAATGGACTAAAGTTGTATTTCAGCCCCAAACCTTAAATGATATGACAAAATTGTATATTTAAAACGTATAGCCTAGCGGCTATACTCGCCAAATATGTTAGAATATTTTAAACGTGTATTTTAAAAGTCGGCGATACTTTCTAAATACATTCGAATATTTTAAAAGTCTAGCCGCGCGGCTATACGCTTGAAATATAAATACATTCGAATATTTTAAGAGTATAGCCGCCCGGGTATACCCTTTAAATATCTTCGAAACAACACGAAGCTTGCACTCGCAGAGGACGCAGGTGTCGAAGTTTCGCTTCTCTATCAACTCAAGCTTCGATTTGTTTTCTTCGATTTCGGCTGCTTCGTCCTCCGGGTTCGGCACCAAAAAAAGACCCAACCCACCTAGGAGGCCCGCCCAGCCGCCTAGCCCCCGCCTAGCCGCCTAGCGCCCGCCTAGGCCCATTTTTTAGAGTCTAAAGCACAAGATGCCGAGGATAGACTCGAAACGGTTGCCTCTCAGGCTCAAAAGGTCATGCACTGATGTACTCAATCCATCTTTGGTCTATGGCTATGAGTGTGTGATGTTGTTAGTGTGGTGTTCATTTTGCCCTTGGCTTCTTTCTCTTTTTTTTCAGATGGCTGACATTGCTACGGAACAATGGATTCAAATTCAGCGGCTTGAGCAGGCTCTTCATATTACTCAAGTAAGTTTTTTCTGCTTGAAACTGGCTTCAGGTTCTTTATTTGCTAAATTCATAAGTTTTGCTGATTCAGTAATATTTGCTAGTTTCTTCTCGGTTGGACCGCTTTTCATTCTTTGGATATTGCATTTCTGTTATAGATTTTGACATTTGATCATGCCCTTTTGTTTGCTGAGAGGAAAAAAAAAAGAAAAAGAAAAAGAAAAAAGAAGAAAGATTTGTCTCCTCCTCCTGTTGCATAGGAACCCAAAACCAACCCACCAAAGAACAGAAAAAAAAAATTGAAATATTACACCACCTCAAGTGAAAAATCTAATTCATTTAAGCTTTTATATTTGTTCTTGTATCAGCATCTGTGTTTCTGTTGTGTGAACTCCACCTCAACTTCAAAGAAAACAAATATAAAAAAAAAATTAGAGGGTGCATTTGCTAACACATGGGTTGGGAATCTCTTAATTATATTTAACTTTTCAAACTGACTTCAAAAGCACCAGATTAACATACCAACATGAAATATCATTTATCGAGCCTCCATTAGTGTAAAAGGACTGTGATTTCATTAGCTGAAAATGCTTTAGAAGAAGGATTGACCTCGAGTTCATTGACATCCCTTTCACTATAAAAACCAGGCTTTTAAGGTTGAGGCAATGACCCTTCAATTTTGAAGGATAGCAAAGATTAAACATCTCCAATTTTGTAGGATTCAAAAGGTGACAAATATTTTAATCTGATCTCTTAACAATTTGTGTCTAATAATGGCTCATATGCCGTTAGAGAAACAGAGATAGATGTGCATATCACTGTGCTGGTTGTAACATTTGGCTAATATGTACCTACAGGAACTATGAATATGTCTGTTTTCTAACTGTCCAGCATTCAGTCCCATATAGCATGGCTGGTCTAACAGATGTTCTATAAACTTAGCTTTCAATTCTGCAAAATATGATGATCACACTATATATATGCTTAACAAAACCCTCCATTTTACCTATCGTGCTTTGATTCTATGAGCCACACATCATCTCCATTCTCCCCTTGTATATATGGATGATTGAGTACATGCTAGATAGTGAAAGTTTTTGCTTTTTGATATACTCTTAGTGGTGCAATTGGTTGCTCTTATGTCTTCGTCAGAACCAAAGGCTCCTCTTGGTTAGCAGAATTCAAAGGAATATGGTTCCAGTCCAGTGACCATCTAGTAGATGCAACTTTGCCTGCTACTGAAGTCAAATCATCAGAACTGAGTGTAAGGAATGGTACAAATAATCTTCACTATTATTATCAACAGTGTCTTCTGCATCACAATTCTCTTTCTTTGTTTTAATGAAAGTTTGTAACTTAAATTTGTGTTTCTTATATAAAGAAAAATTATAAATTGCTCTTATTGTAGAGTTCATGCAATAGAATTGGGTTAGTAAAGTGTTGAGACAGACTTGTTGTATCTACTCAGCTTTTTTTGTTCAAAATATTTTGGATGTGTTGTTCAAAGTGTGAAGATAGCATTTTATTAAAAATGTGTTATTAAAAGTGTGCAATGCTTATGATTTCTTATCTCAGTTATAGGAGAAACAAAGACTTCCGTAGCTTCTGGAAATGAGCATATTGGGGAGAAGCAATTAACGGATGTCTTAGTTAATTGGTGAAACTTCTTATAAGAAGATGGAGTCCAAAATAGCAAATTAAGGAGCCACGCACAGTTCAACAATGAGGCACCCATCACCTATTTCCAGTCCAGGCAAGGGATATAACTTACAAATTATTATTTTATTTATTTTGGAACTGCAGAATTGGTTATACTTTAAGTCTTCTTTTAAGTTTAATAAAATTGGTAATATATTTAGGTGTTATTTTTGGGTGTCCAATTCTTTCCTAACAAGTTAAGAGTATATATCTTTGCAACATTGAAATTGTAGCACAGTTGTGACTGTGGTTGGTAATTTTGTTGCCTTGTCATTTATTGAACCTACCTTCCTTCTTTTATGTGATGACACTTGCGTTGTTGAACATAATCATGCAGATAGTGAAGAAAGAGATCTCGTGAATATTTTTGCTAGTCTCAGTCTAAAGCCTTCGAATCTTCCTGCTCGAGATGCTCCTTGGAAGTGGGTAACTTCTCCTTTTAAGATGTTACTTATGTGTATTCTATCATGATTTCAACAACTCATGTTGTGATTGAATTAGAGTTAATATATTGTTTGGTATTAGAAGTTGATCAGAAAAATGTTGCTTGAGAATATGTGTGGTTTTTTTTTTTCAACTTAAATCTTCCAGTGGGATCGCTTTTGCATCCTATGTTGATGTTCTGAATGCACTGTTTTGTCATGGCTGCTGTTTTACATATTTACATATATCAAGTTAATTAAGTGCTCTCAAAAGCTTCATTGATGTTTCTTTCTTTAGGGGAGAGGCTTCATCCTTGATGCAGCCACGCCTGGAGAATTCATTGGTGGGTTAAACACTACCATGTAATGCCAGGAACCAAGCCAAACAAAAAAAATTAAAAACTCAGAGAGAATGAGAGGGGAAATTGACTCTTTCCAACTAACAGGAACAAGACATTTTCCTTAAAGACTACCAATAGATTGATAGTGTTCTTATGGTCAACAAGGACAAGAATTCCAGGGCTGCTCACCTTGAGTACACCTGTACTACAATACATGCCTAATGGGAGAAGTGGTTGTACGCTCAAAATCAAAACTCTCCTTTGAATATCCTACGAAGGTTGAATATAATGAAAGATGTTGCATCGGCATTGGAATACCTTCATCATGGTCATCGTCCAAATCATGTTGTCCATTGTGATGTGAAGCCAGGAAACATACTACTTGATGATGACATGGTTGCACATGTTGCTGATCTTGGCATTGCAAGACTCTTAGGTGAAGGAGATTCTATGACCCAAACCACGACCCTTGCCACAATTGGGTATATGGCTCCAGGTGATGTACTGTTACTAGTTTACTTTTCAATTTTATATATGTTGTCCTTCATTATGAACAAGGTGACCTTATGATTTTCTTTTAATCATATATAACTAAATTCACATATATAATATTGCAGAGTTTGGAATGGAAGGAATCATTTCAACCAGAGGAGATGTGTATAGTTTCGGTATTGTACTAATGGAGACATTCACAAGGAAGCCAACTGATGAAATATTTGTTGGGGAGATGAATTTAAAGCAATGGATTGCAAACTCGTTACTTCCAGATGCTGCAATTGTTGAAGTTGTTGATGCCGATTTACTTGGAACAGAGGAAGATGGTGATTTTGTGAGCAGGAGGGATTGCTTATCATCCATTATGAGATTAGCTCTAGCATGTTGTGCAGAATTGCTGAAAGAGAGGATTAACATGCAAGAAGCTCTAGTCACACTCAATAAAATCAAGATTAAGTTTTTGAAGGACATAAAGTCAAGCAAACATTCTGCATAAAGTAAACTCTCTGGCTGCTAGAAGACATAAATTGTTTATGAAGCTTACCTTGGCATCACCAGAATTTATACTGTATTATACATATTAGTTCAATTAAGAATTATTGGTCTCTAATCATTCAAAATATATTAAATTTTAAGAACATGTTTTTCTTACTCAGGAATTTTTGATTCAAGACTGGGACATGGATTATATGACTTGGACAATACGAACTGTACTTGTGAGGGTTTGCACTCAACATTCATCCAATCTCCTTCCTTTGTTCTAACCTCCAAGCCAGCGACGTCATGCTGAACAACAATGGTGGTAAGTTCATGTCTGTGTGGCTCGGAAACCTTACTTTGGAGTCGTTGTCCTCTGGTACTGTATATTTGATGAATCTAAGAAGGTGACCGTTGGAACTACCAACTGGCCACTATGTTATAGCTTAATATAATTTATTTATATTTTTTTAATATATATTATTTTTCTTCAATATTGTGTGAGAATTATGTGTACAATATGTAAATTTCATAAATAAAAAAATACGTGTATTAAACATGAAAGTATTGTACATTTACTTTTAAAAACGTGAATTTTATCGAGTCTTTAAGACGTGTACAGAACATAGATGTCTTGCATTAGAATTACATTTGTATTCTTATAGAACGATCAAGTCGGTTTTTATCATAGTAATTCTAGACTACAATCCCCACAATGGGTCCGTCCCATTCATGGGTAAATTCAAATACCATTTTCCTTTTGGTCAAACTTAGGCATAGATGCAATCACCAAAACCTGCAACACATAATCATGGACACTTCAATGGAGAAATTGATGGTAGGGAGCTTAGGCACTGAAGTGAGAATCGGCTGTTATTCCACGTTTTCTTTAGTTACTGTGTTGGTGGGTGTGCTTTAATTGCCTTCTATCCAGAAGGGCTCCATTTTCCGTTTCCCTTTTTTTCCTTTTGCCATCTAAATTTGTATCAAGCGCTTGGCTATGCGTTTGCCCACTTGTGAAAACAAGTACAGCCGCGCGGCTATACTAGTTTTCTTTACATAACCCAGTATAGCCGCGCGGCTACACTATTTTCAAAAATGCACGAGGATAGTATGGCCAATCGGCTATACTATTTGCTATTAATGAAATGTCAAACTCCTCCTTCAGAATTATAAAAGGCCATATACAATTGTGAGGCCTTGTGCATTAACTGAGGTGCTTGCCAGAGCAGATCTCATTTTTGACCAAGGAGACAATATAACGGTATATAATCTAGTAGAAGATCACTATTCTCTCTTTGTTGTATGTCTGTGATGACATGTATTGCTCTTTCTTTCCCTTATAATAGTAATATAATAGTATCTGAATGTTATGATTTGTAGTATTTATATATATGCAGGGTAAGATATAAAGAGAGTGTAGAAAAATAGACGAGAGAAGTTTGGGTTGAATCACTCGATACTTTGATCATGTTGAGATACACCATATATACAGGATGCTAGCGGTGGTCAACAATAACAAAAGAGGAAAATACATGATTACAAGGATTTATACATAAATTGTACCAATCACGTTGTGATGGGAGGTTGACTTGAGATAGTGGGATTCTTAGCTTGATTGTCGTTCTCTTCACCCCCGCTCAAGTGAAACAGAACCAAGTGGAGATTGAGCTTGCCAGAAAGAAAGGAGAACCGTTCTCTGGAGAGACTTTTGGTAAAAATATCGGCTAATTGATGTTGGGAAGAGACATAACGTGAGCAAAGAACTCCATGTGCTAGTAATTCACTAACAAAATGATAATCAATTTCAATATGAAGGGTGCGAGCATGGAAGATGGGATTTGCAGCCATGTGAAGAGCGGAAATATTGTCGACAAAGACGCATGGTGGAGTGTGAAGAGGAACCCCAAGTTCACGGAAAAGATAACGAAACCATTGAAGTTTAGCAACTGTTGTAGCAACGGCTCTATACTCAGCTTCTGAGCTGGACCTAGAGATGGGGGATTGCTTTTTGGCGGTCCAAGTGAGAATATCGGGACCAAGAAAGATGCAGGCCCTACTAGTTGAATGACGATCGTCAAGAGAGCCGGCCCAATCTGCATCATAGAAGGCATGTAAGGTGTAATCAGGGGAAGAGCGATAAATAAGACCATGTTCAATAGTCCCGTTTATGTAACAATAAATGCGTTTGACGGGTTGTAGATGAGTAGTCTTGGGATTGTGCATGTATTGACAGACTTGGTTGACGGCATAAGCATTGTCTGGGCGAGATAAAGTGAGATATTGAAGTCCTCCAACCATGCTACGATAGATTTCAGGATCTGAAAGAGAATCACCATCATGGGCAGAGAGCCGTTGAGAGGAAAGCAAAGGTGTAGGAGAGGGTTTTCATAGGTCAATTTTGAACTTCTTCAATAAATCTGAAGCATGTGATGACATGTATTGCTCTTTCTTTCCCTTATAATAGTCATAATATCTTAATGTTATGATTTATAGTATTTATATATATGCAGGGTAAGATGTGTCAAGAGAAGAGGTTGCTCAGATTTGTTTTGCTGCGTTGGAAAGCCCCTATGCATCTGGCAAGACATTTGAGGTCACAGCCCGACTTATGTCCCTTAATTGTGTGCTGTGTGCTGTGGCTGTAATTCGCTATTTTTGGAAGTTAAAAGCTTTTGCAGATTCTGATATGCTTATAAACTCATTTGAAGGTTAAAAGTATTGTGCCATTTAGTGAGCCATTTACAGTGGACCCTCAAAATCCACCCTCGGAGAAGGACTACAATGTTTACTTTAAAACTTTGAAAGATGGAATTACAAGGAAAGGAAATCCTCGAACCAGTGTAATATTTTGCATACATAGGGCTCTAATTTCAACCTTGACTATGTAATTATGGAATTAATGGAGCTTAATATACTTCCATTTTCATCTGAGATAATTCTCTCAGCAATGAGTCAATGACTAATGAGAAGAAAATCTGT